TATGTGAGTAAAGCTCACTTGTGCAAACACAAACTGTATAACTGCCTCATTTATCTTATTCTAATGAACTGTCTCAAATTCTACCTTTGTTTACAAATATAACCCTTACAAATCATACCTCTCTATCTTGTAGGTTAACGTCATACACAAATAAACCCTCGACCAGCCTTATTTCCTGCCTCTATCTTACACTCTTTACTTGGTTCCTGAACTAAATTCCTATTTGCTTCTACACCCTTGACATTCTTTATAACCAAGGAAAACAATTCATACTCTTGTTTCATGTCAATTATCATCACTCATTACACACAAATCTAGATTATCCTCAACACAAACTGATATATGCACAAATTGTGCATTCACACACGTTATCCTACGTTTGTCTATATGTGGTGCTACATGCACAGACAACATTTTAACATACTTTTCATCTTAAAATTACAGAAAACTAGATTTATATCTTGTGCCATTTTTGGCCTCATACAAACAATTAAAGATTGATTTATACAAATAACAGCTTTATAGTACTTACAACATTGGGCTTGTCTCGATTGTCGGGGATTACTGATGGAATCACTGTCCACAAAACATTTCAAATTTCGTGACTTTTAGGCTGGCGAACTACAAACGCCCTCTTACGACCAAATGAAATTATGGTTAATCTGAACCGACGTCATGACAGAAAACTTTCTAAATCTTACAGTAAGACCAAAGAAAAGAAGAGAAGGGTGGCGTATGTGTGAGAGAGAGAGAAAGGTAGAGAGAGAGAGAGAAAGAAAGAGGGGGGGGGGTAGAGTGATGTAAGGAATAAGGGAGTTTACAGATACAATCTGCGCATGGGCAGATAAAGGTCATTCATTGTACCAAAAAGGTAAAACCCACAGAGATGAATACTGGACATGCGCTCATGAAAGTTACGTAACATTATTCATTTATGTACCAACGGTACATTCTATGATACGCAGGTGGAAGTTTTCTTTTCAAGAGGGCAAACAAAAGGTATTCATGAAGCACATCTAGGACTTTGGCAGTTATTATTCTAATATGCTCAAAGTGGAACTTCTCCATGTGTGAAAGATCTGTGGATATTTGGGGTCATTTGTACCATGTGCTATCTGTAAACTCCCTAATACCCCATTCACAGTGGCCTCAAACACCGCGACAGCAGCGGGACTGTCCCGCTGCTGTCGCGGTGTTGTCTTCAGTGTGAAGGCTCGGACCCGTTATAAACTATCGCGGGATAACACCGCCTCGCGATAACGCCGCGACAAACTATCGCTAGGTTCGCCTAGCTACAGCAGCGGGACAGTCCCGCTGCTGTCGTGGTGTTTACTCAGTGTGAAGGTTCTCCGCTATAACACCGCGACAAACACGTGTGATTTGTTTACTTACCTATCACTGACCTCTTTTCTCCAGCAATGGGGAACATAAAGTGAAATAGAAATAAAGTAACCAGTGGATTCAAATTGATTTTATTATTATGTAGATATTATAATTATCCAAATAAAAATATTTCACACTTCAAAAAATTAAAATATTCTGACTGGAAGCAATAAAAATGCTAGTTTTTTAAAAAGTAATATGATCGCGCGCAATTGTAAGCAATCGAAAACCCCGCGCTGAAGTATTTCCGGTCATATCGGGGTCACTCGCGGGTCATGAGCCATGCATACACGTGTTTGTTACGGAGGTAATAAAAATCACCCGCTGCAGCGTGAATGGGTACATGATATTTATCCCGCTGCTGCAGCGGGATAACTTTTCTACTGTGAATGCATTTGTAGCGGTGTTATGGCGGTGTCGCCGCTCCGCTACAACGCCGCTACAAATTTCAAAACCACTGTGAATGGGGTATTATAGTGCTGGTCTGCCTTTGAATGGTATGTTTAAAGCATGAGATGGCGCTCGTGATAACCATTGTTTGAGCTATCAGTAGGTACTCTCGAAATCCATGATAAAGACATATTATGAGGCCATTTCTAAATGGGTCCAGAAAATCAGGGGAACCCCTGACGATATGGTTGAAAACTTATCATTTTCAATCGTTGTTATATACTAAATCAATTTTTGTAAGGAGGATGAACGGCGCTTAAGACGATGCATTTTAAACAGCTGGAATGGGTCCAATCCAATCCAATCCAAATATATAGCGCCTTTTCCTTGCAGTTACAAAGCGCTGCACACACGCTCCACAATGTTTGGGCCACTTAAAAACAAAAGTTAGAGATCAGTCAAGTATATGTAGGCTGGTAAAAAAGTAATTACTAGCAGAATACATGTGACTGGAGCAGGCGCGTACGCATGGGGGGGGGGGGGGGGGAGGGGACGTTGGTGGTTTAACCCCTATCATATTTTTTTTAATGTGTGTGTTTGGGAGGAACCCCCCCCCCTCAATTTTTTTACGGGACAAAAAAGAAAAAATATGTGCTCTTACCCCCCCCCCCCCGCTTATTCACCGGCTGGCTGAGTCGTTGCGAAATGTTACCCTCCCCCCTCGAAAAAATATCCTGCGTACGCTACTGGACTTGAGTAATTTCTTGAACTGGTCAACAGATGAGGCCGTCTGCACAGCAGTCTACGTTCATCATTCAAAAGCGGGATTAGTATAGTATTAATGACTGCTTTGAGAGAAATAGTTGTTTTATTACGCTCAAGGGAAGGTTAGAATTGTGCTATTCCCCGAGGCTTGCCGAGGGGAATAGCCCAATTGTAACCTTCCCGAGAGCGTATGAAAACAACTATTTCTCGAATATTAAAGCAGTCATTAATACTTTTATATGCCGAAAAAAAATAGACTAAAAAATAAAAAATAAAAAAATCTTTTTTTTTTGGTCGAAGATGAGATTCGAACTCTTGCGTACAAAAGGTGTTGTATCTTCTGTCAGCGCCTCAGACCTCTCGGCCATCGCGCGCTTTCAAAATGCTTGGCAGTTTTGTACGATATATACATTAAAATGGATTGAAACCGGCTTCGCGTGTGATGAATGCTTCGCAAAAGCTCCATATACGGACTCTTCTTTTACTTTTGCAATGCATATTGGCACGAACTTAGATCAAGATCTATCGGCAGATGTTGTTTTTTTGTTTTTGAGAGTTAATTTTCGTCTTCATGTCAACAATGCAAGATAAAATTGTCGGTAAGATCGATCGAGATTCAATTGTATTGAAATTGCCGACCAATTTTTCGCACACGTATGGTATCCTCCATCGCTCAAACCATTTTTTAACATGTAAACCTATGGGGTAACCATGGAGACTGACCTATTTTTTTAATAACCATGGTTATTAAAAATATTGAAATGTTTTATGCATGGTTACCGGGAATTTTACAGGAACAGTTGAAGTTTATGAATGCAATTCGACCAATCAGATGGCTGGATTTCTTAAGTGAGGTATATAAAGAGCAATATTTGATGTTTCTTCAAAATATCATTTCAGGGCAAATAAAAGAGAATCCATCTAAAAAAAAATTAATCCAAAGAAGTGCTCAAGGTGCATACAAGTATATAACAAAGGGAAACCTACTACATACAATTTTGAATGGATCACAATGAGATAAGTTTGAAAATTAACATGAATATATGAAAATGAAAATATGAATGTAAAGAAGCACCTAGTAAAGACGAACGCATTAGATTTAATAACATTACGAAAGTGGCCTATTTCAGTGGTCTCTGTACTTTCCTATTTTTTACCACAAATTTTATTTTTATCAAAATAACCAATGCCAGCGGTGTTGCTACAGAGGGAAAGTGAGGGGGGGAATACGTGCCGAAATCTTCTTCTCCTCCTATCCCTTCTTCTTCTCCTCCTCTTTCCTCTTCTTCTTCTTCTCCTCCTCCTCTTTCATCCTTTTCTTCGTCTATTTTCTTCTTCGTCGTCTTCTTCTTCTTCTTCTACTTTTATAGTGAATAAATAGGGAGGCCATTAACCCCTTGTACCCCCACCCTGGCTAGGCCTATGTTTATTGGTACATCAAGCAATACTGTAACATAGTCAATACAAAATGATACTTAGGATTTATCTGAGAATCTATTTTTAAAGGAAAAATATTCATCAAATGTTTTTAATGTAAAACACACTATATGACGTATAGCCTTGCGTGTATAAAGTGACATATTATGTTTCAAGGACTTCCTCTCCCAAAGCAGGCTCTACTCTCACAAAGATCGGTTGCAAACAGAAACTAATAGTGCTAATAGGAATCTAACGCCGTCATGAATACGTCGGAATATGGCCCAAAACCTGTATTCAACCGTGTCTTTACTGTTAATTGTCTTTGTCAGTCCCTGTCTGGCGATCTTTACTATTTCAGGTAAGTTTGTACGAAATATTTTCGCAGATCGAATTACATGAATTTGTAGCATTTATAGCAAATCATAAAGGACTATTGGTTGGTGTAGCATTGGATGCAGATATGAGGAAGTATGGGAATGCATAGGCCCATTGTAAGCTATTTCTTTTTGTGTGTAAATCCTCAATGCTTTGTGTTGAAGACAATATGTTTAGTTTTATTTTATTTTCAAGGGGAGCGAGAGGGTCTTATTTGCCTTACTCCTATAAGCGTGCTGAAGTAAGATATCCATGACATTCACTGTTCATTAGGTGTTAAGAAGTTGTGTTTCATCTGTCATTTACTTGAGGCGAAAAAGGCCTACGGAGGGACTGTGGGCAAAACATAATGTCTAAGGATGCAAGCCCCGAGGAAGGTTCGAACCTGGTATCTCTGGTATGAGATTTAAGAGCCTTCACCAATATACCACGGTGCTCCCACTGCTACGTTTATATATTGGCGCCTTAAGCACCCCCTTAGATGGATACGTGCGCAATATAAATGTAGCTATTATTATAATAATTAATATTATTGTTACTATTATTATCATTATTGTTATTTATATTATCATAATCATCATCAGCAATATGATCAATATTATCATTATTATACAAACGAACGAATACACAACCTAATCTACTTAAGCATAATCTCAATAACTTTTGCAGACTACAGATTGATCACCAAAGATCGACCAAATGCCGGCATCGTTGAGGTTTTCAACCAGGACATCGGATGGGGGCTCGTTTGTCAAAACAATTGGAACTTCGAACTAGCAAGTATAGCTTGTCGTCAGCTAAACTTTCCAGGAACTTCTCGACATCTTACGGCAGTTTTTTTCGACGACGGAGATGAGTGGTCGATGTCAGTAACTAATAATATATCAACATATTTTACAGGCTGTTCAGTTAGTAAGTGTACTATCAAACTGTAGTGTACCAATTGTAACAACAATGCTGATAATCATAATAATAACCCCAAAATATTAATGGTAACAATAAGAAGTAATAATAATCATATTAATAATCAAAGTGATGATAATGATAATGATAAAAACTCTAATAACAGGAACAAAAAAAAATAATAATAATGATAATGATAATGATCATACTAATAACAATACTAATAATAACAATTACAAGCGTGCACACACTCTTTCATTCTTTTTATGTGAGTGTGGAATAATAATATGGAAAAAATGTCCCCTGAAAAGAATGGCTCTTCAAGTGCGCCCTCGTATTCAATATATACAAAGTAAAAGCTAACCGTTGTGGTTGTGGTTTCATTCCACATATTTGTGTAGTTCTATAAACACATGTCTCTGTAAAGCACATGTGACCTTTAGTAAGACTGGGCCAATTTCTCATCGGTTTGATAATAGCACACCCTCACAGTACACACAAATTAATACTTAGATGGTGCTTGATCAGCCTAATACATTCGCTTCTACACAGTTTCTTCCTCAATGCGATCGCATGACCAGAATTAAACTTCATCTTGAACCTACACCGTATTATCACAAGTATATCCCTAATCAGATCGACTTTCCTTCCCGAGGTTAAATCTTTGTTTATATATAATAATAATAATTATAATGATAATAATAATTATAATGATAATAATAATATCAATTAGTCCCATATTACCCAATGCATGTACATATGGAAATACAATTTATTTGAAGGAATTGCAATTAATCATTTTTCAGATGGGCCGAACATGCAATGTGATACGAACAACGGAGGTGGTAGCTGTAATTTCAACTATATGATAGCAGCCGTTTCCTGCAAAGGTAACACGGTTGTGATGTCTGCTTATCATTTCTAGCTGGTTCACTTAATACAGTTCACGTAATATGCATGTATGCTGATCCTGTTGTTAGTGCTGATTTTCAAAATATTGGTTGTCCACATGACTATTCTTGGCACTGGTTAATACATTCATAGTGACGAAATAATAATACGATTGTTCACATAGCATGGATGGCTGTCTGCCTTGGTAAATAGTTTTACTTCACATTTTGTTTTGTCTCTGACATGTGGAGTTGAACAGGGCTCATCCTGTTCTTACTTTATCTAATTAGTCTGAAAAGTATTCTTCAACACCAATCTTTTTGATATCATATTTATGCAGATGAAATTAAAAAAAAAAAATCACTTCATTCGAAACTAACCGACGCAATGCAGTCACCGCTATCCATAATCTTGAGGCTCATGTACAGGATGTTCATAATCGGTTACATTCACATTAAGTGATACTAAATCTTACAAAATGTGAATTTGTATTGTATTGTTCCAAGACTCAGTTAAATAAGGTACCTCCATTGCCCTTGCTGGTCATAATATATATTACTGTATCTCATGGATGTCATAACCTCGGTGTGTTTATGTTTCAAACTTGAAGTGTTTAAAATGATATTAAAAAATCTGTTTATTTCAACATATAATTCATTATTTTTTCGTGTTAGTATATTGAACATACTTACACGAACAACATTGAATTATATGCCGAATTAAACAGATAGAACTTCTATCTTATTCATTTTCCTTTGTTTATAATGCAAATGCTTCTATGTGATATCTTTTTTGTTTTTGTTACACAAGTGTGCTTTGAGCATTCATTTACAAGTGGATTCGGTGCTTTTTAAATCCCAACTATTATTACTATAACTTACATATCAATAATCAAAGTAGACGTATATATACTGCTAGTATACTTCTACTACTAATAATACAAGTTCGATTGATGTAGCGCTAAATAAAAATGTTTCTAAGCGCTGTACTTATTATCACCCCGGCTATTGCCGATCGAGCTACCCTAATAAGGCGCTCTGGCACTCTAGGAATTTCATTTTACCGGGAACCCATGCATTTTCATACAGTATTGGTGGAGAGTGGCTAAATAAGGTAGATTGGTGTATTGGCAAATAACATAAGTGTCAATGACAGGGACTCTCCGTACATTGTGCCTCGTATTCCGGGGACTTATCCGGTAGTCCATGAAACTTCCAATATATTAAATACATAGGAGGTAAAAAAATTTGGGGAATAACTGCAACACAAATACTAAACATGCAATCGTGTCACAACGATATGCGTGCAATGACACACGTGTTTCTACGTTTCAAACGAAAGAGCTTCGCTCGAACTATCCAGAGCAATTTGTAAGAAGTCTGTAGCTGTTGTGATAGTTGAGATAGGTAGGGCGAAAGAAACGCCACGGGAACGGACGAAATGGCGCCTCGACTGTCATGCATGAGGGATTTTGGAGAACGAAGAATACAGTGACCATGAAGGAATGCTAGAGATTATGCCTACGAAGTTTAAAGGGAATTGGAATAGAGTAGACCATTCGTCCAAAGCCCCCCCCCCCCCTCCGGTTTTGCCGAAAGGGTGCGTTGACTAGTCTTCCACATCAGATGTTTATAATAGAATTGACTGATGTGGAAGACTAGTCAACGCACCCTTTCGGCCAAACTAGGGGGGGGGGGGCCTTTGGACAAATGGTTGCGTTCCGGTCAACAACGCACCCTTTCGACCAAACCGGGGGGTGGGGGGCTTTGAACGAATGGGCGCGTTCAAGTCAATGCGACGCGACGTAAACGCTACCCATCCTTTCGGCATAAGCCGGAAGGGACCTAGAAAGGGCTCGCAAGCACTGCGTGCAAATCCAACGGGATTTGGTTCATGATGAACATGTGGCACAAACAGCCGCCCATACTAACACAACCATGCAGAGTATAAACTGGCGTCTTAATTGTCCCCCTTGACGATTTTCAAAAATCCGACTTCGAGGTGCACTGCGTATCGCAACTCGGAATATCACTGCAAAATTTCCAGGAAAAAACAGGACGGGAATTAAGGGGGCAAAAAGCAGTCTGAAAAATGACGTCATGGCCGATACGTGTTATAATTATAATATATTTGTAAATGTTGATCATTTACAAACTGAATCTGGCATCATACTGTCTGACATATCAGATCACTGTCCAGTTTACTGCAAAATTCAAAGTTTACTTAATCTTGCTAAATTGGTTCATGTCTATAAATAGAAATGTTGAATCTCTCTACAGGTCTGAATACACTCGTCAAGAGCTATTTTTAGAACGTGGATAAAATTGTTGTAAGACACAGATTATCGTTAGAATCATTTGTATTTAATGACTTGCCATTAATTTATTTTTTTATTTTTTACTGTTGTATCTATCTAATACTATGCACATGTTTTGTTACCTTGTATATGCCTTACTTTGTAAATTCTTTTCATATGCAGTTAATGTTGAAATAAAACCTAAATAAAATAATTAGAAAAAAAAAATTGGCGGAATAACATCAGAAGTCGTATAGTGACCCTTTTTCAAATTCGATTTACTCAAAATGTTCTGCGTGAACCATATTTGGTATCATTCGAAAGAGCATTTCATTGCGGTCAGTTTGACACCATTGCCATCTGCGTGCAATGTCTTGTACGCATTATACTGGTTTGTATGTAATGCATAGTAAAATCATCATTTTGGCAATAATTTTACGCTGACGTCATCAAATTCTGCCAAACTTGGCAGAAAGTTGTCACGTGCTCGGATACATGTGTATCCCATGTTTCTATGACGTAGGTATAAGGATCATCATTTAAGAGCAAGTTGAAGTTGTTTCGCAATTTTCTTGAAAATGGCGAATTTGGAGGGTAATTTTCTCAAATTTGGTCAGCGTTAGGATATTTTTTATTTTTTATTTGGCTGGAAAGGGCATATCTTCAAGTATCTAAATCTAAAAAAGGGTACGGGTTGGCCAGAAACGATGAAGATACGGCCACAGAAAGAAAGACAATCCCCAGAACTTAAGAGGGCGCCATTAATTTGTTGCATATTCATTGGAGAGTTTAATTCAGCGTGGCTTTGTGAAATTATGAGATAAAGATACTGCAAGAAATTGAGGCGAAAGTATGAGAAATTTAAGGCATTTTTAGATTTGTAGGGGTCTATTTTTCAAAAAGAAAATTGAGATTTTTCACGAAGTCGGTTTCGGATTTGAATTTGCACTACGAAGATGGCATTTTGAAGGTCAGGCTATGCGTCGCAGATGAAAGAACATATCCTGGAATGTTTGGAGGAATTTGTTAGAACTCTGTAGGATCTAAGATAGTGGAGATAGGAAGGAAGAAAGAAAGGCCTTAAAACGGACCAGAAACGGAAAAATGGCGCCTGGACGGTTATGCATGAGTGATTTCGAAAATTGAAGAACGTTGATGAAATGCTAGAGACTATGCCTATAAAATTTGAAAGGAAAAGAACATGAGGAAAGGGCATAACTAGTGATAACACGTACTACGTGCAAAACGAATGCGATTTTCTGACGAAAATACGGAAAACACGGAGAAGAATATTAATAGGGTAGAATGTGTACGTAAACAAGGCAATGACGATATTCGTCATTGCAATAACACGAGGTTCCATTTGAAGTCTAGCTGAATTGTGTGGGAAGTGTTTCGTTGTTATCGTTTTCATTTTTAAAAAAAAATTTAGAACCAGGTTATATTGGATGTTTCAGGGCTTTCAACTTTTTCTGGCCCGGCAGAGATCGTGTGCTCTCTGATGGTCCCCATCAATATGAAAATATGACGATTGACCTGTGCATCAACGCATGCGCACAGAAAAGATACTTCTACGCAGGTGTGGAGTTTGGGAACGACTGTTTCTGCGGAGGACAAGATGAAAACTTTGCCAAATATGGAAACGCTTCGGATGGGGAATGTAATATGCTTTGTGCTGGAGATCGCCTTGAATCATGCGGGGGCTCAGATAGAATCGGCATCTACCGAGGTAAAGGAAAGAGCGATTCGAGATTTTATTTAATTTTTCATTTGGGTGTGGCACTCTTGGGGAGGGACATAGGGGGCTAGAGAGGGTGTTCAGGGTTCTTGCATTAAAAAAATAAATAAAATGTTTTACATGTTTCTCACGATGGTGTTTTTAACCCCCTCCCTAAGAAAACACTAGAAGAACACTAATAGGTAAAGCTTGTTACGAGGATTTTGACAAGCTAGTTCAGAACCCTAGAAATACTTCTGCAAACAATGTCATTTAGAGAAAATAACTTTCTTCATTTTCCGCACTAATTTGCCTGCATAAAACATCATTATTAATTATGAACAATAAAATAATGTACTTTATATTGTCCTGCCAATGAATTGCTTTTAACGAAATTCGATTTTCTCTTCTTAAAGAGAAGGTTGAGTAATGGGAGTTCTGATTTATACCACATTAGTGTGTAGTCCCACATACATCTTTCTGTGTACAGTGCTTGTAATTTTATCAAGACTGGGCCAAATTTCTTATAATTTTGATGATTCCAGAACCTTGCAGTACACACCAATACTTATGCTAGATGATCAACCTTTTCTAATCGATTCCACATCGTTTCTTTCACAATTGCAATCGCATGACCAGAACTCAACTTTATCTTTAAAGATATTGAGCTTATCTATTTTTGTTTAGTTGTTAATTGCACATGTTATAATGTTTGAAATTCTCAAAATATATCATACTATCCGTTGTCAATCCAATTTATGTTTCTAAGTTGACCTAAGTGTTTGTGAAGACCCCGGCACACCTCAAAACGGATTCAGATACAATGAAACGGGCTCTCTGCGCTACGGCAGCAAGATATATTTTAACTGCTCCAATGGGTACACACTAGAAGGACCTGGCGTTATCCAGTGCGTGCAGATGTACGGTCGCAGAGATAATGTTGGCATTGCTAACAGCACCCATGCCGTTATGTGGAACCAAGGTCTTCCGAAGTGTACAGGCAAGTATTTTTACATTATCATATTTTGGTTCACGACATTAATTTTCCATGAGTAGATGTAGGTTTTGTTTAGTCTAGAACGACTTTAAAGTGTATCAATCATTGCAAATGTTTGGCTCTTGATGTGAGCTAATAATCGTTATGATAGTTGTTATGTACTCTTAATTAAAATGTACACATATGATTACTCGAGACAGATAATAGCACACGTTTGATACTCCTGGTATAAGATTCCAAAGCAAGTTTATTTTGCATGGCGCATGCGCAGCTTTACCATTGTGGGTCATTGTATGCCGTCATCAATATGTAACAATAATAATGATAACACTCCTACTAATAATAATTTAAATAACAACAACAACAACAAGATAAATACAAAATATGATAATAATTATAATTCAAAACTCTAATTATATATATCTCATATCACTATTCAGTCCCTATGCACTTTAATTTTGAGGATAAAGAAATGGATAGAATTGGACTATATACATACAATACAATTCAAATCAAATACCGAGTAAACTTATCTTAAAACTACTGGTGAACAAAATGTTTTTTGTTGTTGATTGGCCAATATATACTATTTTAACATCTTTATTTACCATGATGTTCAGGATTCAGTTCGACTACACCCTCTTCTGCGACTACCAAGAGCCGAGGGCTAACTAACCAAATGACATTCAGTGGGTCAACTGACCAAGAGCAGCAGAGTGGTAAATACTTCTTATTTATTTATTTATTTATTTATTTATTTATTTATTTCTGATATTTATACAGGGTGGCACATATCACCAATTTGGTGGTCTTCCATGAGGCCCTGTTTGGTAATAATAAAAACAAATAACAGCATCAAAAACAAAATAGATAAATACACAAGCATATAAACAGGTAAAATACAAATTAATTGGTATTCCCTTGAAATAACTCCCCTTGAAATAACTGATCATTCAAGAATCACCCTTGATCATTGGTTACATGCAAATGTTTCAGCGATTACTGACGATTTTATCATAAAAAGTGTGAAAAGGAGAATGATGAATTAAAAAAAGAAAGGATTATCAGTACATGTATTTCTGGTATTTAATACAACTGTTTTTCATGATAGCCTCAATTACCACACATCATATTGGTATAGGTTGAGTTCTGGGGAGAGGTGAAAAATATTTTGTGAGCATTATCATTTTCATTATGCAAGTGTGGAAGAAAATCAGGGATAAAAATGTTCCCTGAAAATCATGGGTCTTCAAATGCTTTCATATTCTAAATATGACAAGTGACAGCTTAAAAATGAGGTCCAATTTTTGTGCCACATGTGCGTGTAGTCCCTTATACATGTTTCTGTGAACAGTGCTTGTTACTTAACCAAGACTGGGCCGAATTTCTCATCATTTTCATGTCTCCAGAACCTTGCAGTACACACCGATACTTATATTTATGCTACATGATCAACATTTCTGATCGATTTCACACTGTGTCTTTCACAATGCAATCTCATGACCAGAACTAAACTTTATCTTTAAGTTGCTTACAACTACTACAGTCTATACTCGGTATATCTGTTTGTACTAGTATGTAAAACAGCGTAAAACTAGAGAAAGAAAGGGTCCTGTCTTCGTGCCCCGTGCCCCCTAGGAAAATCATTGTATGGTATTTGAAATGACTGTGGACTATAGCAGTGGTAACTAATTGCCATTTAGAAAATTCATGTGGCTCATACCGGCTTACAAATTGTAACACACTTATAATTTCCTGTCTTTTCCTAGGTCATGATCAGGTCATCATATCTATCAGTATTGGCATCGTCTCTGGCCTCCTCCTCATCATCGCCATCATTGTCGTGGTCGTTATTTGCAAAAGACGTAGAAGGTAAAGCTTATTATTATTATTATGATGTCTCATAATAGGCCTTTAATGCTGTACATGTTTGTACGCGTTTTGGTGTGCTGAATCGCACCGTGCTGGTTTCGTCTTTTACGTCCAAGACGTGAAAATCAATAAAATTGACCTTTACCCATGCAACAATTTTGTTGTATTTTACGTCCAAGACGTGAATATTAAAATAGAATTGTTTGGGAGATGAACCATTTACATGTACACGTAAAGCACGGTAAGCCTTACATTATGATATGAGTTAGGAGACGTTATCACACTTCTTTTTGTTGTTGTCGATAAGCGTTTTCGTACATACACACTCTGAATCTTGAATTACTCTCCAGGATAGCCCAGACCACAGCTGCAGTGACCAAACTAAAAGTCATCTGGACAGACAAAAACATTGCCATCAGCTCCAAGATCCGGGCCCGTAGCCAAGATCGGTTGTATTTTGTTAGGCCCCTCCCCAGAACGTCGATAAAATACATGTATGTGTCCCCCCCCCAAACATCAAACTCTGGCTACGGCCCTGCCAAGATCAGACTGATGCGCTCCCTGGTCATGTCCGTATTTTTGTATGCATGTGAAACCTGGACCATAACAGCTGACATTGGAAGAAGGATACAGGCACTGGAGATGAGAAGTTTCCGCAAACTCCTCGGTATTTCGTATAGAGATCACATAACTCATGAGGTAGCGAAAACCAGAATTGAAAACGCCATTTCAGTAAAAAGACGCAAACTGAAGTGGTACGGGCACGTTACACGATCATCTGGACTGGCCAAGACTATCCTACAGGGAACAGTACAGGGAGGAAGACGAAGAGGCAGACAGAAGAAACGATGGGAAGACAACATCAAAGAATGGACTGGCCTTGACTGGAACATCATACGGCGGAAAGCTGAGAACCACGAGGATTTGAGGAAGCTGGTTGTAAAATCTACAGTGGTGTCCCAACGGTCAGCCAGACTACGGGACAGATGAGATGAGAAGAGATCGTACTATGTTGGGAAGTTATGCACTTTGCCATTTTGGGGAAGAGCTAATAAAAACGTTTAAAAAAGGCGGTATACATGTACGTGCTTTTGACAGTTCTATACATGGTATTGCGATTTGCGCGAGAACTAGGAATTGGAGACACGAACCATGTACGTGCACACGTAGAGTTCGACATGCCTTACATCATCGTATGAATTGGGAGACGTCATCATGTTTTGTTGGGAAGTTTAGCACTTTGCCATTTGGGAAAAAATAACAAAACAGTCTTAAAAAGGCGGCTGGTATACGCGCTATTGACAGTTCTACACATATTATTGCAAGTTCCGCAATTCTTCAAATGGGAAACGTGAACCTATTACATTTACATGCACACGAAGAGCACGACGTTCCTTACATCATGATATGAATTGGGAGACGTTATCATACAATGTTGAGAAGTTATGCATTTTGCAATCTGGGGGAACAAAATAACAAAAACGTGTCTAAAGGTGGTATACGTGCTATTGACAGTTTTATACATGGTATTGCAATTTGTGCGAGAACTAGGAATTGGAGACATGAACCTATTGCATGCACATGTAGACCAAAAAGTTCCTTACTTCATGATATAAATTGGAAGACGTTATCATACTTTGTTGGGAAGTAATGAATTTCGCCATTTTCGGGAATTACTAACAAAACCGTTAAAAGAAGGTGGAATACGCGCTATTGACAGTTTTATACACAATTTGCGCAAAACTAGGAAAGAGACACATGAACCAATTACATACACACGTTTAGAGCACGTATAGAGCATCATCTTCATCAGCATCATCAGTAGTCCATCATCAGAAACACACGCCACTCGTCGGCGCCACCATCCAGCAACAACGTCGCCATTCGTCATCAAAAACAACATCGCCATTCGTCAGCGCCATCATCCATCAACAACATTGCCACTCGTCATTAACAACAACACGCCATTCGTCAGCGCCACCATTCACATCATTTCTATTTTGCTGTTTTGCTGAAAACCTTACTTTGGTTGTTTGACCTTCGCCTTCTGTTTTTCAGTCTTCACGAACTCAAGTTTTTATTTCCACCAGCGACCCTTGTGTCGGGATCCTGCACGGTCTCAAATTTAGCAAAAGGTTGATTAGGGGTGTTGATGGTTTGATAATCACCAACAACACAATCCAAGTCTTGCTTTTTTCTGTTGTGATTTTCGAGAGACAAGACAGACAACAGTGGAACAAGATATATAATTTAAATGAGCGTTTATTCAAACCGTGATGAAGTCTAGCCTGGAAATATTCCAAATACAATCACATATAAATAATATAAAAGGGTAGTCTATTTATAAAGCGAAAGCCTGCCGCTCATCAGCAACACAGGTCACTCGTCAGCGCCGCAATCCACAAGTCGTCGTCGTCGACTTGCGTATCAACGTTTGAACTTTGAAGGTAAGAACCTCTTTCTTTCCTTCCGCGTCTTCGATTTTCGTTTCGTCGTTTGAAGGTCTAAACCTGACTCTTATCTACGACATCGCGACTTTCGCTTTTCGGACGTCGTCGGAAACGTGCCTTACCTTTTCCACATCTTCGAGATCATCAGCATCAATATCAGCATCATCATAATATTACTACTGCTACTGCTAGTAAAATAAGTAATACTAATGATTATTGTATATACAGCGCTTTTAATTTCTAGAGGATACAACGCTATACCACACTAATGATCTTTATTTCTTTTATTTCAGACGCTCTAACATCGCTCTGAGGCAGTCAGTATGTGAAAGGGAGGGCCAGGAACTCGATCCCTACACGTCCTTAGATACAACAACTATGAAGCAACCAGCCTACGAGGACATCAAAGCAACTAGACACGGAAATAGAGGCCACACAAATGCAATCGAGGGGGTAGAATATGAAAATCAAAGAATAGTGGAGCAAACAGCTAAAGTCAAGAAATCAAACTTGGGAGGGGCCGATGAGAATACTGAGCCGGTATACGAGATGCTGAATTAAAATTGATTCCATGAAGTAGGACACAGAACGAGTTTTAAGTACAGTCATACCTGTCTAGAATGGTCACTCATTGTAAACCCCAAAACGGCCACTAGCTGCAGATAGCTTCTACAACACACTTGTCCTTTTCTAGGTAGACAAAATACATAGCCAATAGCCCAATACATAACAGACAGGGAGCCTTAATAGAGAGGTGGCCACGAAGACAAGTTTGACTCTATAGCATGAGCTCTATATGAAGTTATACATGTAGCGAGTTTGTCATAATATTATAGGCCGTTACTTGAGAATATTAATTGTTGTTGTTTTTGTTAATTTTGTTCATCCTTTTTATAATGAATAGTATATAGGGAGCGCTAGGCCTGTAAAATATCAAGGTTTCGGATAAGATAGAGATTACAACTGTGATAAACAAGAGTAGGATTAGTTTTATTAGTACTGATCTCGAAGGAGGGAGTTTGATTGTATATCATCATAGTATATAGCCAAAGCAAAATTGCACTTTGATGTTATGCGGTATGGTCGCGTCAGTCGCTGCTTCCCTAGCTGCGCTGTTGGTTCTCGCATCGAGTCCTCCGTCCGCTTAATTGGATATTGGGTTACGCACTGTTGGTAAGTCGACCATTTACACTGTCTTCCAAACACGCCAAAAAATGCCAAATCGGAGCCTGACCGCGATGTTACCAAGGGCAACTACGCTTTACCGGCAGAAATGCCAAGCCCGAAACATTCCAAAACGAAGTGTGATCTTTCGAGATCATTGAGATGGGGCAGAAAAATGATCAGTTCATGTCGCTTTTATATTTTGAGATGGTCCTTACACGTAAAGTATAGTAGTATAGTATAAGTATACTTGAATGAACTGCAGGTGTTATTTCTAGTAGTATGCCGATGGTTATCGATTACGAGGGTAATGGTACAAACAGTCATCACCGAGGCGATGATTTGTATCCATTGCCCGAGTACAAAAAGGAGGTTAATATTTTTTTTATATCCCACATCAGCAATAAGGTCTATTTAAAGTGAATTTTACATAATTAAAAGAACTGATTCTGCAGACAGTTTATCTTCAGCTATATTTTACAAAGCACAACATGCATACATGTAATAAAGTCGATGCGCGCTCATTTGACATCGCCATTTCGCGTAACCTACTTTGCTATGCTTATTCAATGGGCAAGTGGGGCAGCAGCAAAAAAAATCTGTACAGAAGGCCTATCGCAGGGAGATAGTACTTATCTATCATTGATCATGTGACCTCGTTTTGACCAATCAGATTGTAAGATTCTTAGTACGCGGGATATACTCTTCTACATCTAATCATGAAAACAAAAAAATACAGTCTATATTGTCTATTTTTGGGTGTCAAGATTCTTGTAAAGATTAAGTTGGCGTCCCCGGCACATTATTAATCCACGCCTATTTCTTAAGGTTAGAACAATTACAATATTTATGTGAATGGCAAGTTTACCTAAATAAAAAACAGATGAACTTTCTAGTAGTATGCAGATGGTAATATTAATGTACTATTAATAATGATGTCAAAAATTAATCCAGTCTATATTGTCATAGTGTTGATCACAGTGTTGATTATACTTAGTTTTTGAATGATATTATATCTTATTAGGTGATACGTACGTAGACGTATCACCTTTTGATTTCGTCAAGATTTTTATTATTATTTATTTATTTATTATTATTCTTCCTCGAAATTGTTCGCAGGATATCTCAAGACTGAACGAAGCCATTGTTATGAATCTTTCAATGATGATAGATCTTAGTCTAACTTAGAACTGCGTGACTTTTCAAAGACTCAAAGTCATCGTGACGTCATCCAGGCGCCATTTTGTGAAAATTAACTAATGATCATATCTTTATAACGAATAATAATTTTTCATTCATATTTATCATGATTAAGATCAATATCCGTCCGGTCAAGTTGAGGTCAATAAACGTGCGTAAATGCGCGCGTGCGCGCTCGTCCGCGCGTTTACGCGCGCGCAAAAATTTAAAATGCTCTAAATCATACCAAATTTTTTTTGCATACGTTTCAGGCCATATGGAGCATTTGATAAAAAAATTACGCACACGCGCATGCGCGCGCGTTTTCGCGCGTACTGGCATTTTGCAACATAGAATCGCCGATTTTTTTCTGTCATCATATTTGGTACATTTTTCCAAGCATTTTGATAACTTGTTCACCTTTTATTAACGCAATGAGCATCCGTCAAAGTTGACAGCACGCGCGGATTTGCGTTATCTTTATCCACAATACATTGGCAAAAACATGCCTATATAAAATTCATTGTAACTCTTTAGAATAGATAGAAACTCCTAATATTTTTTCATATTTGGATAGATTATGAGTCGGAGATATGATTTCATGTCTCATTTGATCCTCAATTAACTCATGACGTCATCATAATGGCCTCCAAACTCAAAATTTCAATTTGCATATTATGACGTCAGCATATTTTTGGAAAATTGATTGTATCTCTGTAAATATGGATCAATTTTCTTTTTAATTTTGATATGTTCTAGCTGAGACAATTTTCTACAAATGTAGTATTCACAATTTTTATTTTTGACAAAAGTATCATGGTGTATTTTTGCGATTAAAGGAGGCATGTCAATTTTTCGCATTTTGCGTGTATTCTCTATGGGACATGACTTTTTCTCAAAACCGGATTCTACACTCCTGTCTTTCGCGAGAAAGATCTCCGTTGTTTTAGCTTTAATTTCACTGAGCTTTGAATATGTTGTAGCTGAGACAATGAGCTATCAAAAGTGTTTTTTTATTTTTCGATTAGATGCCGGGATCATGCTCATATTTCACTTGCAAAGTAGGATTTCTGAATACCATTTCCCGTTTACGTGTAATCGCTATGGGAGATGTTTTGGTATATCGGTAACGCACTTGACTTCCAACCTCGAGATCCCTGGTTCGAGTCCGGGTGTCTCCAACACTTTTTTTTCCTTTTGACCTTCCCTGTACCATCTCCTTTGATTATTTAAACACGTAGATTCGCAAATAATGTCATAAATAACCCTTTTTACTTTATTATTACCCTATTTTTACTTAATCCATTACTTTTTGCGTGTAATCCCTATGGGAGATGACTTTTTCCAAAATATGGAGTCTACATTCCTGCCTTTTGCGAGCAATATCGCCGTTATTTCGGCTTGGATTTTGTTGATTTTTGAGTATGTTGTAGCTGAGACTATATGCTATCTAAATCAACCCTCATTTTTTCAATAAGATGTCATGATCGCGCTCATGATCATGATCATCATGATCATCATTATCATAATGATGATAATCATTTATCAATTACATTTTCATTTCTTTGAATAAGATAAAAATCGTCAAAAGGTGTTCTTCATGATGTAAATTAGAGTCAAATGTGTAACTGGTTACTGCACAGGGTCAAAGGTCATATATTGTTTCAATCTATCTTCCCTAGATCCATGATGATCAAGGAGACACAATTTAATCTTGACATATGAATAGATCATAATGGGAGAAGCATATGAATGGGAGAAGCAAAATAATATATCGTGTAATGCATTATTCGTTATGTAGACCATTATCATACGTATCACCTAATTCGTCTAAGTGACGAATTAAAGTCTAGTTAGGTGATACGTACGTAGACGTATCACCTTTTGATTTCGTCAAGATTTTTATTATTTATTTATTTATTATTATTCTTCCTCGAATTTGTTCGCAGGATATCTCAAGACTGAACGAAGCCATTGTTATGAAACTTTCAATGATGATAGATCTTAGTCTAACTTAGAACTGCGTGACTTTTCAAAGACTCAAAGTCATCGTGACGTCATCCAGGCGCCATTTTGTGAAAATCAACTAATGATCATATCTTTATAACGAATAATAATTTTTCATTCATATTTATCATGATTAAGATCAATATCCGTCCGGTCAAGTTGAGGTCAATAAACGTGCGTAAATGCGCGCGTGCGCGCTCGTCCGCGCGTTTACGCGCGCGCAAAAATTAAAAATGCTCTAAATCATCCCAAATTTTTTTTGCATACGTTTCAGGCCATATGGAACATTTGATAAAAAAATTACGCACACGCGCATGCGCGCGCGTTTTCGCGCGTACTGGCATTTTGCAACATAGAATCGCCGATTTTTTTCTGTCATCATATTCGGTACATTTTTCCAAGCATTTTGATAATTTGTTCACCTTTTTTTAACGCAATGAGCGTCCGTCAAAGTTGACAGCACGCGCGGATTTGCGTTATCTTTATCCACAATACATGGGCAAAAACATGCCTATATAAAATTCATTGTAACTCTTTAGAATAGATAGAAACTCCTAATATTTTGTCATATTTGGATAGATTATGAGTCGGAGATATGATTTCATGTCTCATTTGATCCTCAATTAACTCATGACGTCATCATAATGGCCTCGAAACTCAAAATTTTAATTTGCATATTATGACGTCAGCATATTTTTGGAAAATTGATTGTATCTCTGTAAATATGGATCAATTTTCTTTTTAATTTTGATATGTTCTAGCTGAGACAAATTTCTACAAATGTAATGTTCACAATTTTTATTTTTGACAAAAGTATCATGGTGTATTTTTGCGATTAAAGGAGGCATGTCAATTTTTCGCATTTTGCGTGTATTCTCTATGGGACATGACTTTTTCTCAAAACTGGATTCTACACTCCTGTCTTTCGCGAGCAAAATCTCCGTTGTTTTAGCTTCGTTTTCGCTGAGCTTCGGATATGTTGTAGCTGAGACAATGAGCTATCACAAGTGTGCCCTTTATTTCTCGATCAGATGCCGGGATCATGCTCATATTTCACTTGCAAAGTAGGATTTCTGAATTCCATTTCCTGTTTACGTGTAATCGCTATGGGAGATGTTTTGGTATATCGGTAACGCACTTGACTTCCAACCTCGAGATCCCTGGTTCGAGTCCGGGTGTCTCCAACACTTTTTTTTCCTTTTGACCTTCACTGTACCATCTCCTTTGATTATTTAAACACGTAGATTCGCAAATAATGTCATAAATAACCCTTTTTACTTTATTATTAC